AAAAAAAAAAAAAAATATATATATATATATATATATATATATATATATATATATATATATATATATAGCTTTGATACGATATCGGGGGAAAAAAACCCTACAAGCCTAAATTATAAACGGCACATCACTGAGCAGTTGGCAGCTGGGTGAATGGGGCAGTTTGCTGTATTTCAAATGCGTCCTCATCCGGAAAGTAGGAATGTCCCCCCAAAAAAAGGAACCAGAGAGGTGTGACCTGAGTTTGCTTCGCAGGATTAGCAGTGCTGGCGTCCCTGTGCCGCTTGCTTTGGTCATCACGCCTTCGCAGGTTTGGGGCAGCAGAGGCAGGGCCTGGCGTCAGGGTCTAGGCCGGCGCTGAGACCTGTTTTTCATCTGATGGAATTAAATGTTCTGACTTCGAACATCCACCAACTTACACTGTCAGGTTTCAAGAGAGCCGAGATGGTTACTCAGAAAACATTTGAATTGAGCGGCAGCAGCGTAAATTAATCTTTCCCGTTCTGTTCGAGAAGAAAATCTGCAATATTCTTCTATAGATGTGGCCAGAGAAACAATCGAACGTCTGGACTGGCACCCAGCTTGTGACTGGTTGGCAGCGGCAGGCCAGGTAGCCCTCTCTAGGAACCCAGGGCCGCTTGTGAACTTAAACTTGAGACCTGATTTAAATAAACTGCTCGGTCTAAACCTTTGTCCTCACGGCAGGTTTTCAACTGGGACGATGAGATGGGTACTTCTGTTGATGCTACGTGAAAACATACACGCACACCTAAGGGTCCATTTCATTCCTCCGCAAAAAACACAGGCTCGTCCTTAAACAAATCCAAGAGAATTGTTGACAGCTCATTAAAACCAATGTGACCAGCTGGTTCCAGACATACAGACGCACATTAACATTAGTGCTCGCGAGAAACTGCTTCCAAAACACCACTCTGCAAAGATTTCATCAAGACAAAACAGAAACAAAAACAAAAGCCCTCAAAACACTCCAGCATGTGGAAAAGGTAAGGGAATAAGGTGACTTACAAACGAGTAGGTTTTGCATTTGGTGTATAATCTAGATTGATGTTATGACACTTACTTTGACATAAATATCCTACATCATTAAAAAACAGATCTGGATAAACAGCTTGGAAAGGAAACATTCACAGTATCGATACAGTCCCTGTTCTTATGGTGCGACCCTGGCCCTATGCTTCTTTCTCATCCTATTCCCTGCTACGTTAGTGTCCGCCGTAACTTCAGAAAAAGCCATTTGATGGTGACTATGTGTGTGTGTCTGGAGGGTAAGCTCTGGGATTGACTCAAATGTACAGGGTTCTTGATGTGCATCCAATAGACACCAAGAAATATGCATCTCCCCAGCAACACTGTCCCCCTCGAGTTAATCCACGTGCTTCTCACACATGGGGTGGACGCAGCCCACCTGACACATTCCCAGGACCCTGAAGAGGTTTCAAGTCACGAGGAAGCTGAGAAAGCAGAGCCCTGGATAAAGGTATGAAGCGGTGAACAGAATGCTCATGGGGTCTTTCAGGAATGGGAACAGCTAAGACTTTTTTTTTAGAGTGAGAAAGCTGAATCTGAAACTCTTGACACCTTCACACTTGAATAGATCGAGTCCATCTGAATTTCCAACTCAAAAACAAATTGTACTAACTACTACTGATCAGTGCCTGGAATTCGACACACAATATCCTCTTAGAATAAATTCTGGAATGTCACGGGTTCTGTGGACCACATGAGAGAGAACAGTAATCCTTCAAGTAGGAGAGAACATTAATGAGACCATCGGTTCCAAAAAGACTAGTAGCGATTACTAGCCTCTGGGGGCTAACTTGGTATGAACATACTATATTTTGGAATACCAGGTGCTAATTTACAGTGATTACAATTGGGGTATAATCTTTAAAAGCAAACTATGCTGAAAAAGTCATTTTACAGTTACTCGATAATTCTCGGGATACCTAAGAATTTTAACATTGTGCATTTTACAATAAAATTCTTAATGTAGTTTTCTAATCTCTCCCTCAAAAAAAAGGAAAGGAAAAAATTCTATAATTTTGATTTTTATAAAGGTTTTTGCTCATCCACGGCTCGCTTACTCCTGAAATATATGTTTAAGGATTCACAAAAGCAGCTATAGGAAGGAACTCACCCAATTTCACATCTGTGACAGGAGCCAAGTTTTCATTGTAGCCTTTAAATATTATTGGAGGAAAATGAATCTTACTCAAAACCTTTCACCCTGATTAACAAGTGGGTTTTTTTTGTTTGTTTTTTTTTGCGGTACGTGGGCATCTCACTGTTGTGGCCTCTCCCGTTGCGGAGCACAGGCTCCGGACACGTAGGCTCAGCGGCCACGGCTCACGTGCCCAGCCGCTCCGCGGCATGTGGGATCTTCCCGGACCGGGGCACGAACCCGCGTCCCCCGCATCGGCAGGCGGACTCTACCACTGCGCCACCAGGGAAGCCCAACAAGTGCTTTTTAATAAGCATGTCTCCTAAAAGTGTTTCAGTGAGAAGGAGTGGACGATGTGAAAATTGTGAATGAACCCCAGGGTAACGGCGTACAGATGAGGAGTGGTTTGGAAGACTCGTAGGGATATTAACATCGTGTGCCGAACTGACTGTTTTTTTCCACTGGAAATCAAAACAAGGGCATCCCAAGAGTTGCTAAACACAGTAGAATTCTGAAGAGCTCAGAGAAGTGTGATGCACGTTTGGCTCATTTGTTATTAAACTTGCATTCCTAAGACTCACATCTGAGACATAAAATAATTTCCTCTCTTGCCCTAAAAGTACTTTGTTTCGGCTATGGGCAATATTTGGCAAACCAACCTTGGACTGCAGAAAAACCATATGTGTGTGGTGCCCGTGTCCCTCTAGCTGTGGCTTATTGCTCCTAACTTCATCTTTTGGTGCTTCTGTGAACAAGGAGGCCGGACGGGAGAGAAACATTCCATGTGTTGGCTGCTCTGTTGGTATTATTACAGCTCTGATGCTATAGAGAAAAATATAAAAACCACATAAGGATTTATATATCTCCCACTCGTAAACAGGCTCAAAGCAAACTTAGAAAAGTGTTCAGCATAATATGCATAAGATATATTTAGTATTTGCATAATTTTTCAAGTTATATGGCTAATATCAAAGGCAAGTGTCTTCCTGCGTTTGTCAGTGTTTCCATTCCCATGGTAATTTCTGTTTGCCTGTGTCCCACCTCTTAGTACTCAGGGCCGCCTGCACTTTTTATTCTGAGCAGCCAATTAGGAGAGGTGACCCACCCATTCCGCTCACAGTGACAGCACAGAGGCGGCCTCCTCTTTGTGATGTGGTCCAGGCACGGACCAAAGTTAGAGCATGGAGGGCAGAGCTTGTCCCCCTCCCCTGCCCGTCCACAGCCCCTTGTGGTAAGTTCCATAGTCCACACAGTGGTATATAGCCTTCTCCCGTTTTAACTTCAACTCTTAGACGTGAGCACCACCCACGCTGCGAGCCGTCGGGTCTCGTGGCTTCCGGTGGCAAACTGGGCTTTGTAGGTTCTCTCCGGGGGAAACCTCCTGGCTGGAGACTCAGACTGTTTTTTGTTGTTGTTTTTTTTCCCTTTAAAAGATGAAATTGTTGGAAAAAACCCCAGCTAGACTGGGGACAGGGAGGCCGTCCACAACTCACGGGCCCTCTGGCTGTGTCCTGGCGGGTGGCTACGGAGGGTCCACGTCTGCAGCATCGCGGGGAAGGAGGCGTGCCGGCCTACGGGCGGGGGTCCAGGGGGGCGCCGTTCGCGGTGCTCTGGCCCCGGTGTCTGGAGAGCAGCTTCTTGTTCAGGAACCGGGCAAGCGTCGCCCCCTTCCTCCGCGGCCCTGCCGGCTGCTGCAGGAACACCAGGTCGTTGTGGGACTGGCTCAGGCCGGGGTCTTTCTGCTGGTGCCGCCGGCGGAAGAACAGCTTCGCGCCCTTCCTTAAAATCCCTCCTGTAAGAGCAAGGCACGGGGTCAGCGGGGCTGCGGGTGAAAAGCCTGGTGGGCGACGCGTCCAGGAGGAAAGGAAGGAAGGCGGCTCCCACCAGCGACTCTAATAGAAGGCAGCCTGTGACTGCAGCGCGCCTCCCTGTTGGCACAAGAAAGGCAGCTGGGTCTGGCCTGAGCACAGCATAAGTGCTTCCAAGGCGCAGTGAGCAGAGGTCACTTGGAATCCATTCCCAGGCAGGCGTCTAGATCCCTGACTTTTAGAGACTCCCCATCACGAGGAGGGCTGTAAACGGCAGAGCAGTGCTTTGTGCCCCAGAAAGGACGCTCATGCTATTAAAACCAAATTAAGGACTCTGAGAACAATGGTATTCACTCTCTTAGGAAATTTAAATAACATTTATTCTTTTGGGGAGGAAGATCTTTTACAACTTCAGATCCAGCACGTGTGTATCAGGCTAAGTCACATGAAATGTCTGTTACTTGATCACTTTAGACCTAAAACCCTCGATCTTGCTTGCTTTGACCTATCTGTATATGACGTCAAGTGGTGCAATATGAAATAGAAAAAAAATTAGCAGCAGCAATGATTTCCACGGCAATGGTTCCTTAAAGGTTAAGTGCCAGCTAACATATCAATGGCCAGAGCCCACTAACCTGCTTCCATTTTCACAAACTAGTTTCACATCCTATGAACAAGGCCCAGGGGGATCAGGGGGCCCTTCCAGCCAGGCTGGGAAACCCATGACCACGTGCATGTAGGTGTTAATGACTCTGAAAGGAGAATGGTCTGACCATCTCAATAAGGAGCTTTATAGCTAATCTGGCAAAATTCATTCTTTTCACGACAGATCCAAAGAATACTTCCACGCCTATGACATATGCAGAAACCATCCTGGCTTATCCAAACGGGAGGCTGGAAGGCGTCACTTTGCTTTCCTACATGAAATGTATGGACAGTTGTGGAATCTGACTCAGCCTTATCCACAGACCTTTGCATAATCAGCACTTACCTCGGGAAAAACAGCACGCCCGTGACTTTAAGAGGCCATTTACTGGACCTGAACTTAAGGATGCATGTCTGAGGGGAGATATATATATATATATATATATATATATATGTGGAGCTGGGTCACTTTGCTGTACAGTAGAAACTAACACAACATTGTAAAGCAACTGTCCTTCCATAAACATTTTTGTAAAAAAGAAATTTTCCAATTAACAATGAAGGAAAAAAAAAAAAGGATGCGTGTCCTACTTGCTCTGCCTGGGTTAAGCAGCAGGACACAGCTCAAAGCTCCAAGGAATGGGCCGAATTTAATTTGGTCAAAGCTGCCCAAAAGATTTGTTTTTCATTTGCTCTTTGGATACAATCAACCTATTGCAAAGACTCACTCGGACATTTTCTACCATTATCTAAAGCTGGAGGCGGTGTACAGGGGGGCTGAGGAAGGCTGGGAAGGGATGAGGCGGAAGGATGAGTATAACAGTGTCAGTGGCTTTAGGCTCAACGGGCTTCTCCTTGGGCCAGAAAGGTCTGTTCCGGGAGCCGTTCAAATCCCTGTAGGATGCAGCGTATCTCAGAAAACCACCGGGTAGGGTGTGTTACGGCAGGGGTCACCACCACTGACAGGGCTTGACCCTGGACTCTGGCCAGTCCCGGGGGCAGATGCAGTGATGCCCACCGGTCAGTTACCCAGCATATCGCAAGTCCCGGGGCCTCCCAGCCTGACCAGGTTACCTCAGATTGGGGTGGGGGTGGGGGACCTAGGAGGTATTTCTGATCTCTAGGTACCTGCTTTGGGTTAAGCTTGGAGCCCCCAAATAGCACATGAATGGGGTGCTGTCACATTGGAACAGAGGAGAGGAAGTTCTGATGGATCTACTCCGTCAACCTGGACCCTAACGCCACACGCCACCCCCATCTCCCCGGGGCAGGGGGCAGGGGATGGAAGTGTGGAGAGGGGAACAGACCAATCCATCCCCCAGGCCAGCTGCAGATCTAGGGATGTGGAAGCCCGGCAGAAAGAGGATCTCCCCTGGAAGGCTCCATCTGCAAAGCCCATTTCATGCATGTCCCTGTGCTGCAATTCAGTCTGGGGTCTGCAGCCAAGATCTGAGGTGTGAGCAGGGGTGGTGTCATGGGTCGGATCGTGTCCCTCCAGAATTCTTATGCTGGGGTCCGAACCCCAGCACCTCAGAACGTGACCTTGTTTGGAGATACGGTCACTAAAGAGGCAATTAAGTTATAGCGAGGTCATTAGGACAGGTGCTAATCCAGTATGACTACTGTCCTTATAAAAACGGGAAATTTGGACAGAGACATGCAGGGAGACGCCGTGTGAAGATGAGGGCAGAGCTCAAGGTGATGCGTCTACAAGCCTCGGAGTGACAACGATGGTTAACAAACCCCCAGAAGCTGGGGGAGAGCCTGGGACAGATTCTCCCTCGTAGCCTCGGGAGGAACCAGCCCTGCCACACCTTTATCGTGGACTTCCAGCCTCCAGAACTCAGAGAGAAGAAATCTCTGTTGTTTAAACCACCCCATCTGCGGTACTTTGTTACAGCAGCCCCAGGAATCTAACACAGACAAGAAAGGGCAGGGGAGGATGCGACTTCAGATGAGGGTCCTGAGGCACCGGCCACGTCCTCCTGTTTATCCTCGGACCCTGGACGCCCCGTGTTAGATCAGGGCAGAGGGCAGATGCTAGAGCAGTCTTCTCAGCCCCAAGACACGCTGGAGTCGGGCAGCAACCTGGAAAACCTCCAGACGTCCAGGTCCCAGCCCTGGGGAATCTGATGTGAGGGGTTCTGGGGAGACGTCAGGACATCAGCATCTTTTACAAAATCCCCAGGTCTTTCTAACATGCAGCTGGGGCTGGAAACCACCCACCAAGGTCTGGTCAAACCGCCATCAGTGGAAAACTGCTACGTGGAAACTGGTACGTGGAAAACTGGAAACTGGTACGTGGAAAACTGCTAAGGACACAGACGTCAGCACCGGGGACCAGACCAGAGGGCAGAAGGTAAGCAGTGCGTTCACTTTCTTTTACATAGTTTCCTGATGCCCCTTTACGTTTTAATATCTCAGGGCTGTGCGGGACGGGGGACGGGGACATGGCAGCCTAGCCTGCAGGGCACAGCACCCGGTTCTGAGGGTCTGGCTTTGCACCCTGGATTGAGTGAGAAGCCAGAACACAGGGACAGGCGAGGGGCAGCTGTGCTCAAAACTCCTTAAAAAGGGAGTCTGCACACTTCTGAGCGGTCGCTTTCTCTCGTTTAAATGACACTGCACCTGAAACGCCTAAACTTCAAATTCTCCTCACGTTAACATAAAACAGCAAGAACTCGCGTCCTGGGAGCAGAGCTGGTAGAGCAGATGCGTTGGCCGTAACTGTTTAAACGGCCCTGCTGGCTGTGCTTTGTTTCAGCAGCGTCCCCGCCCCCAGCCAGCGCCATGTCGGCCGCGGACCTGTGCTGCCCTGACAGACCTGCCACGCGGTGTTTCTGTTCTTGGTCCTTACGCCCACCCTCTGGAGCAGGTGTGCTGTGCTGTTAACTTTGCCTGTTCAGCGTCGCCGCCTGAACTGGATGCTGTCATGTGTACCCTGGTGTGCATCGTCCTGAGGTCACGTGCACGGCTCACCAGGTCCACGTTTCCCCTAACTTGACACCACTTGTCATGGCTTCTGTGGGGACGTCGGCTTCTCGGACAGAGGGCAGTCATGTGAGGGGAGACACCGAGGTTTGCAAATCTACAGGCTGGAGTCCCGGTTATGTCTCCCAGCCACCTCTGAGGGTGCTCTCATCTCTTGCTTACAAATAGGGAAGCAGAGACTCGGAGGGGTGACGTGCTCTGCCCTACAAAGCCGTGCTCTCGAGCCTGGCTCTTGTGTGCTGCTAAGCATGGCATCTGAGCTGGAAGTGGCCAGTAGGCGTCTGGAGCGCCGGTCTGCGGGTGGCCGCTGGCGAAGCCTCTGGAGGGCGAGGTGGATGCAGCTCCCAGAGGGATCGCAGAGCAGAGCCCTGCTCTCTGGGAACGACTCTGACAGGCTTTCCAGAATGATGTAAATCTCCCGAGAGGCGTGCTGGCGGCCTGGGTAGGACAGAACATTCCAGCAATGTGAGCCCATCTCCAGGGTCCACAGACTAACTCACCAAACGTGAAGAATAACTAGCACAGACAGAGGTTATTCCACTTTCATGACTAAATAAAAATGTTACCGTCCGTTTAAACTTGGCCAGTAAAGCACGACGACCTTGGGGGTAAGTCACGCCGGAAGGACGTGGCCACTGGTGGGCTCAGCGGACGCTGATGTGGCTGCACCACAGGTGGGCGTGAGGTCGTAGCTCAGACGGGCCAGTGCCCCCTCAGCTGCTGGCAGGCGGTGCCGTAAGGCGCCGCCATGACTAATGGACATCGGAGCTCGGTTTTCTGTGCCAGTTTGTCCCAGAACGCCCAGTGACTCCATCCCAATACTGAGCTGAGTGCCGCAGGGAAGGCTCCTGGTCGATGTGGTCCAGATCTCCCTCAGTGCCTGAGCTCTAGCAGATAACCCGGAGTGAGGTGGGTGGGCTTCAGCCAATCACTGAATGCCTGAGAAGGTTCAAGACTGCCCCAAGACTGCGGCGCCAGCTCCTGCCTGCCCTGCAGATTTCGGACTCATCAACACGAACCGGTTCCTTGAAATACAGAACCTATTGGCTCTGCTTCCCTGGAGAACCCTGGCCGAGAGAAGAACTCCAGTTTGGTATGTCACAGTTGACTCTGGGCCCACAGAATCTGTCACCCTTTGCTGATAGGGAAATTCACATCAATGGGGCAAGGCCGCTGGGGCCGTTTGGATTTAATAAGCCCACCTCCTTCCCTCTGGGCTACCTCATCCACACCACAGGCATGAAGCAAGACGCAGGCCTCACTCCCAATCTTAAAGATGCCTGAAGGTAAGATCTGGAAACAGGTTATGTGAAATTTCAGGCAAATAACCAAACTCTTAGATGGGACAGGCAAGAAAAAAGATCTTTCCCAGGTTCTAAAAACAATCATAAGACTAAAGGTTAATAAAAAAAACAATCATAAGGCTAAGGTATAAACAGATATATGAAGGAATTAAAAATAATTATTCTAAATTATAGCTTTAATGTTGCAAATATTCCCAAATTTATTCCACTCGTCTCAGTTTAACAGACGTAAATCGCTCATTGAAGAATGCATCTTAACATCTTACAGGTAGGAAAACAGTGACCAAAAGCAACCTTATAAATTAAAGTCTGCTGCCCAAACAACAGCTTTAGATTACAAGGGGAACCACGGAAGGCCCAATTACAGAAGTGACGACTTTTTGGAACCAAGGACCATTAAGGGAGTCGGTCTGTCTGAATTTCTTGGCAAGGTGGTTTTGTCAAGTCAGCTAACACAGGGATGCCTTCCCGAGATGATGGCCCCTCTACTACCAGACCAGGGCACTTTGAAGGAGGAAGATGGGAAAACTGGCACCCGGGGATGGTCCAAGTGGAAAGCGATGGGAGGGAAAAGGAAGGGGGGTGGGGTTAACTTCCGGCTCAGTTACAATATGTGCTTTTCTCATAGCAAGGCTATACTTAATTAAAAAATATATATATAAAACAGAAATAACTTACTGTGTAGGCAATTAATTCTGGCTGGCATAGCGATCCTCTTAAGTTAAAGGGCATGAGCAGGGATGGAGAGAAGGAAGAGGTGAAAAGAAAAGTTTGCAACAGCAAAATCAGAACGAGAGACGTAAGAGTTTGAAGCATTTGCGTTATATACAACATGGGACGTTACTGTGCAGGATGCTTGGCAAGGTTTGTTTTTGTTTTCCTTTTTAATATTTTTCAGAGTCTCCACCAATGCTTTTGTTCTTACTTGTGGTAAAATACACATAACATAAAATGCACCACCGTAGCCAGTTCTAAGTGTAGAGTTCGGTTGTATTAAGAACATTCACATATTTGTACTACAGCACATCAATGCTTTGTTAAGCTAAAAATGAAACCAAATTTAAGGAATGCATTTCCTGTCTTGGCTGCATCATAACCATATGTACATTTCCAATCAGCAGGGTTCCAGGGGAATTCTAAATAGGTAGTCTTGGAAGGCTAGAGCCAACTCCTTCCTATGACAGGGGATGCAGGTGGCTCTTGAACTGAAAAATAGGCTTCAGTTTACAAAGGAGAGGAAACTCCACAGAGCTGCCCCCTAGATCACCAGTTTGGAAAAAATTCTGGTGGAAAAGGAAAACTATTTGGTACCCATAAAGCGTAATCATCTAAGGTTCTGACAGTATCTCGTAGAGATGCCGAGTGCAAATCTCTCAGGAAACAATGGAATGAAAAGCAATTTTTAAAACGCTGCCCAGTGCGTCCCTTTGAAAACTCCCGGGTCTGTGCAGCGCTAAGAGTGAGGTGCATGACCGCTGGCTCAGCGTCCGTACCCGGCCCCAGCTGCCAGGCCTCAGGGTGGAGCAAAAGGCACACCTGCCGGCACCAGGTCCCCAAGAGTGAGGGTGTCATCCACCTGGCCGGTGACGGGAGAGGAGCGGGGTGGCCAGGACACAGCAAGGACAGAAACCCAAGGAAAAGAGCTCCCCGGAAGGGACAGCAGAGGGAGGGAGGGAGGCAGGGCAGGAGGGATGGGATGAAGGAACAGCGGTCTCTGAACGGGCCTGGGGTGGTGAGGCTCGGCCTTCCAGAATGAACGGACGGCGGGAGGGAGGGGCGGGTTCTGTGAGAAGAGGAGGTGGCCTGCTGGTCCATCAGGTCACAGACGGGTCACCCCACCTGCACCCCACCCTGCCCAGTGCCCACCTGCCTTCCTCAGGTCCAGGGGAGCCCCCTTGGGCTGCTCTGGCCCCAAGACAAAGCCCAGGCCGGGGGCACGTGCCGGGCTGTGGACCAGCGGCCGGGCCACCTTTTCCAGAACAGAAGCCAGGGAGCCGCCACAGAGGGCGGTGCTCATTGCCACGCGGCTCCCGGCCCCCCGACAGGTCCTCGGGATGAGGCGCCAAGCCCGGGCGGCGGGCAGATAGAGCCCGAGCTCCATCGCAGGGTCTGGAAATCACACCCAGGAGCCCTGCTCCTTCCTCTCTCTCTGCCTCTTCCTTGGCCTCCACCCTGTCTGTCCCGCTCTGCTCCAGTGAGGGGGTGGGTCATGGGGGAGCCCGGGAAGCCAACGGGAAAGAGGAGGGGAAGGCAGGATGCCGACCTTCCCCAGCGGGGCTCTCGGCTCGGCCCCGGGGACGCTGGGGCCACGGGATGCTGTGGTCGGGTGCTGAGCACCACCCCTGGCCTCCACCCACCTGAACCCCCAGCACCCTCTGCCCCCAGCCATGGCCGGTGCCCCCCGGGGAGGGGGCACGATCGCCCCACGTAGGAACCACTGGTCCGTGGCACCAAGAACAGAGCAGCTCCCCAAAGTTCCCGACCCGACTGGCTGAGACTCCTAATGTCTACACTTGTGGGGGAGCCGGGACTTGGTGCAGAGTTGCACCCAGGACTGCTGGTTTGGCTCCGGCCCCTGCCTGGGCTCTCCCGGCCTGTCCTCTGCACTGGGCCCTCCTATTACCGCCTGGCCGGTGGGGTTCTCGGGGAGGTGGGCACACGTGGTGAGCACATCCCCATTTACAGAGGAGGGAGCTGAGACTCAGTGAGTCTTGAAGCCTCACATCTAGAAATGGCCCGAGCCTCTGGACTACCTTCCCTCGGCAAGTATCTTCAGGTCACCATCGTGCCAAAGCACCGTCTGGGAAAAACTGCATGCGTTGAAGACATTTACAGATTTAGAGCACTGATTTAGCGCTAACGGGAAACAGTCGCTTATTCCAATGCAATGATTCCCTCACCACTGCACACATATTAAGTTAATCGGCTAATTTTCTAGGGAGCTCATCTCCCCGTGGACCCTGTCAGGGTCGAGTGGGGAAGTCTGGTTCGCTTTCCGTTGGAGGGGGGAGTCTGAGAGGCACACAAGGGGAGGGGTGCCCATCTCCGCAGCTGAGGGAAGCCCAGTCTCTGCCCGGCTGGTCTCTCTGGCTCCATCGTGGTACCTGGCTCCTGACCCCTCTCAATGCTCTGGATGCCTCTACTCCTGCGGGGAGGAGCGCCCAGACAGAGGAAGGGGCGCTTCTAGCCGTGAACACCAATTGCCTCCACAAATGAAGAGACATGACCCGGCCGCTCACACTGGGAAGGATTCTGAATACAGCCTGCACCCCCTACCCCTGCCCATGGGCTCTAAATGGGCTCGGATGTTCAGCGCAGGTGTTTCTGCAGGTGTAGGGGCGCTGAGGGTGGGGTGCCCTTGCAGAGGAGAAGGGAAGGAAAGCAGAGGGTGAGAACTTGCTTAGCTTGGAACTAGTAGGAGAGCAAAGCCGTGGGGCAGGGGGGAGTGGTGGGGAGTGAGGAGGGGTGGGCAGGGCGGGCAAGGGAGGGGCTGGTACCTTTACGCTTCTGGGAAGTGCCCGGCTCCAGCTCAGACACACTCAGGGAGTGCTCCGACAGCTCATCCCCAGCAGGGTCCCGCAGGGCCTGGCCACCCCAGGCACTGGCCCCGGCCGGTGGCTCCTCTTCCAAGTCCCAGGAATCCAGCTCAGTCTCCTGGGGCTCCAGGGCCAGCCGGGCCCCTGCTGGGGTCTCCTTCCCCCCCTCGGGTGGGGCAGGGGCCACAGACGCCCCTGGCTGGTCCAAGGCATCCTTCTGGCAGGTGCTGTCCATGGAGGCTGCGTAGTCCAGCATCAGGGAGGCGTCGTTGTCCTGACATAGTGAGGTCTACCCGGGAGGTGAGAGACAAAGTCAGGGAAAGGAAGATGCCAAGGATACTGGGAAGAAGCAGCGGGTGAGGAAAAGCCTCAGCAGCCCTGTCCAAACATCCTGGCTGGTGGTCTCAGCGTCAGAAGGCGCGCCGCCCCTCCAAGGAGGCAGCTAAGGGAAGCATGGGCTGAAACACAGTGGACGAAGGTCTCCTGTGGCAGAGGGTCGGCCCGAGGTCGCAGGCTGGGGGGGTCTGGGGGAAGAGCATCCTTCCTACGTATGGGATGGCAGACGGGGTGACAGAGGATGTGAGCTCTGGAGTGCCAGATTCGATTTATCTTTAACCTTTGTTCCTACAGCATTTTTGTGTATCGTGCAAGGAGGAACTGACCGCTATGCACTTTGTATCCTAAGAGTTATATTTGTATGTAAAAGAGATGTAGGTGCTTGGGGGTGGGAAAGTGGTTCGCTGGAGGGCAGGAAAGTGACTGCAGGGACATGACGGTGGCGGCTGGGGGGGTACCTGGGGGCCGGTCTGCTGTTCCTGATCTGCGTGGCAGTTGTACAGGAGAGTCTGCTAAGTGACAGGTGACAACTGCCCTTTTCTGAGCCAAGTCAGAAGTGCCCACTGACTCAGTTTGGGTCAAATTTTACCATCAGCAGAGATATTAACTGCAGTCGGTTAGATGGACTAAATGATCTAGAATAAAATCTCAGAGAAGGCGCAGAGGAGGAGACAGTCACGAGCCTTGCCCGTATTTCACTCATTTATTTATTCTTCCTAAAGAAAACCCAGACATTGGGCCAGGCGCTTCCAGGGACGCCATCGCCCCCTGCTGGCTGCCTCTGGAAGCGCACCCAGGTAAGCCCAGAGACTCACCCGGCCCCTGGACACTAAGGCCACATTGGTGACTCACCTCTGGCGCCTCCCAGGACCTGTTCTGGCCCCTCTCCCAGTAGCCAAGGGGTCAACTGTCATCATGCCCTCCTACCCCACCCTCTCATGCCCTCAAAGTATCAACCCACCCTCCAAAAATTCATCTTCCTCATCCCCTCCCAGCTAGCTACCCAATGTCCCACCCGCCCCTCCACTGCTCACATTCTCCTTGCTTGTTCTGAAACGTTAAAAAGAGTAAAGGACTGTAATGTGGGCCCTTGCCTTCCGGGCGTCCACCAGGGACGCCTCGCACCCATCAGCTGCTCTGGACAAAGGTCACAGAGCAGGAGAAGGAAGGAATGGGGGTCAGGATAAGTTTTAAAACAAGCTTCGTTTCTCTGATCGTGAAAGGCGTAAACATTCACTGCAAAATGGAAACGGTTTGGAAATGTGTAATGTGTGAAGTGAAAGCTCCCCAGGATGGGGCAGCCATGAGGGTGGAGGTTCTGTCCCAAAGGGGAGTTGATATCACGCTGGTCTTTTCTCTTTCAATAATTTTTCTTCACATGATTCACCAACCTCTCGACAACCAAAGCAACCCCGGTCAGAAACTTTCAAGTTTCCTTCCTCAGCAGGACAAGCTGCGTCAGGAATGGGCCCCCGTGGGTGAGGGAATGTAAGCTGACATTTGGGGGTGGAGCTCACCGGAGCTGATCAAGGGCTGGGGCCGGGCTGACGCAGGGCGAGTGGCAGGCTCACCTTGGAGACCCCAGATATGACGATCGTGCTCTTCGTCCGCGGGGATTTGAGCTTCAGCTTCGAGGACTCGCTGAGCTGTCGGATGGCGACTTCGGCCACCGGGTCGGCACCGCTCAGCACCAGTAGCTCTGCCGGAGGAAAAGCGGGCGTGAAGCACGTTAACAGAATCTGAAGCTTTGACAGGAACTTCTGCGGCCACAGATTTGGTCTTTAAGCAGGGGTTGGCAAATATTTTCTGTAAAGGGCCAGACAGTGACCTCGTGGGCAGCCGGCCCCGTCACAAGTACTCCACGCTGACTTGGAAGCTAGGAAGCAGAGGCCGGATGTCAAAGTGTCCACGGCTGGGTTCTGGGGAAACTTCATGAGCAGGACAGGTGACGGCCCTGGGTCTGGAGCTGATGCTCTGTGGTTACACACACTCACCGAGGTGTACGCTTCAAATCATGCACTTTAACGAATGTAAACATGCCTCGATTGAGGTGAAAAACAGAAAGCTCTGAGCTTTGGGGAGATTGTGAACTTTGAAAGGCAACGCAGCTGCCCCCTGGCCCTCCCAGGAGTGGTCGAACACAAAGACTAGCGTTCGGGTGACCGAGGGCTGGCTCACTGCTTCTTCCCAGGGGTAACTCCACACTCGGGCCAACATCCGGGGAGGGCTTGACACGGACCTGTGCCCTGCAAGGAGCTCCGTGCACATTATTTCAGGTAATTAACCCCAAGCCCTCCGAGGGAGGTGCCTTTCAGTTTCCCTTTGAGAAATGGGGCAGGTAGGAGACGGCCAGGCGGGCGGCGGAGCTGAGATGCCCGGCCAGGTCTCTCCCACTCAGAGCTGATGCTGGAACTCACACTAAGGTGTCTGCTGCTGCAGAAAGATGAAAAGGACAATGGGATTAAGGGGCAGGATGTTACCAGGAACTTTTTCTCAGTTTGGCCTCGACCCGCTGACAACAGATGCTACATTGTGTGTGTGTGTGTGTGTGTGTGTGTGTGTGTGTATTTTAACGACTTAAAACATATATTGATATCCCACAAAAGGAAGATCAACTTTTTTCGGTAAACATATACACATAAAACTTTATGATAATTTTCAGTTAAACAACAAAAAAATTTATGATATCAACTCAAAGTAGTAAAGGAATTTTACTTCCTGAGAATTTTTTTTACAGAAAAAAATTTCTCAACTTAGAACTTCCTAGAAAATGTCTAGGTCAATGCCAGGAGGGTTTGGAAAGACCCTTAAGGAAGGCCCTTAAGAGAAGGCCAGCCCAGCATCTTTCTCGGAAGTAGAGGTGGATTTGGTTTCAAGAAACTAGGCCTGTTGGAAGTGATAAAATGGAAGAAATCCTTTAGGAATCACTGGATGTAAGATACTATTAAAATCTCTCTAAAACCACAGATGCTACATTTCCCAAGGCAGCGGCGAGGGACCAAGCGGCTGAGAACTCTGTGGCTGCCGACCCCGGGGGGGGCAGAGAGGGACGTGGTGAGGACGCCTGGGGAGAGGGCTGCGCCGTGAGTCCCAGGCCTTGGGACACCAGTCGGGGGGGCGCGGAGCCCAGAGCTTCCGTCCATCCTCAGCGAGCCCGTCCAGGTGCCAGCTGTGCCTGAGGAAGCTTGCAGGGCTCCTGGCTGCACGGTGCGGGCTGGTGCCACAGCACCCACAGACCAGAGGGGGAACCACAGCAGGGATGTCAGTCCGGGGTGAAGGTGCCCCCGTGGTACAAAGCAGAGCTGAGACAGGGCCCCCAGGAGCGGCCAGTGAGGGGCACTGCTTCTGTCTAGGATTTTGCAGCTGGGGGCGACCCTGCAGCTTCCAGACAACGAGGGAAGCTCCCACAGGGAAAGAAGCAGCTTTCCACTTCCGCCCGGTT